GCATTCTCCTAGCTTTCACAAAGATGTCATGTAGTTGCTGCACAAAGGCTCATTAAGGCACCATACAGAGCAGTGGTGAACCTAGGCATAAAGCCATTCTGATTTGTAAATCATCATTTTCTTTTAACAAGACTTAAAAATTGGAATAAAATAAAATAGGAGAGAGAGAGATGGTAAAACCTGAAAATCAGAACGTGGTAATTTCATTTATGAAGTAGGGGAGACATTGCAAGATCTTTTTAGTCATAATAACTGAATGGTGTGTGTGTGTGTGTGTGTGTGTGTGTGTGTACTTTAGTTCCTAAGTGAAGCAAAAGTCTTGCGCTTTCTGAACTCACATGACAGAGGAGTCTCTAAAACATTTCTCTGTCATAACTACAAAAAGAAGGCCCTTCTATGCTTTCAGATTTGTTTTCCTCCTGTAATCTACAAACTCATCTCCATATTAAACCTCACATGACTTGCACATTGCCTCGCTCTGCATTGTGTATCCACATGTCTGAAGTTTTCCCACTTGTGAAAATTTAACATATTTCTGTGAAACAAGGGAAAGGTTTTGTTTCCTGATGGGAAAATTTTGCTTAATGCATATATGCTTAATGTATAATAATATATGAATTACATAAAGAATTCCTTTTTTACTTAATTCTCTCTTCAAAGACCTTATTTCCAAATATGATTACATTCTGTGTTACTGGGTTCAGGGCTTCAACATATGAATTTGGGGGTGTATAATTCAGCTCTTAACCATGTAGTAACATTTTCCTCTTGTTCTCCTTGTAATTAGGCAAAAAAAACCTCTCTTTTATGATCAGAGATACAACTATGTGTTGTGTTTATAACTGGTTTCCTTGGACGCAAGTAAGGAACAATGACTTCCATGGTTAATTTTTGTAGCACCCAGAGTTTGGATTACTTATGTAGTTATCACCCTATTGGTCTTTGAAGTAAGTACAAATCTACTTTCTGAACCTCTCTTCCCCTTTGTTTGTGAATCTTGCCCTATCAATTGCTTCCTCATCAAGTTGGCCCTAACCTGGGGACTATTATAAGTTGTCTGGAACTGTGTAGTGTTTGTGAATAAAAAGCTACCACAATAACTACCTATGGAATGGGCCATACATTTTGGTGTGTGTTTGAATAACAGATCGTCCTAGTCCTGTGGAATCAGAAACTTGAAAGGGCCCAACATCTGTAATGTTTGTAGTTGTCCCGTAGATGCTGTTGCTTCCTAATGTCTGAGAGCCACTGTGCTAACCATTTGTCTGTTTCTTTGTTTTATCTTACATCCAGTCTTACTGCCCCGTGAAAGAAGGGTTGTGCAATTTCCCCTTCCTTCGCCAAGGGATCTAGTTCTCAGGACAGATGATATGCATGCCTGAAAAGAGGATTAGAAAGCAGAAGTAGATTTCTGGTAGTTGGTTCTAATTGCAAGAAATGGGCTCCCTCCTTTCTGGTTCCAGGGTGTGTCACCTGCAAACCACTACTGCCAAGCGACCACAGCTCCGCAACTCCTTTGTTGAGCATCTGCCCCCTGGTGGTCCGTGTGTGTCATAGCTACCGGCCAGTCGGCCAGTCAGACTGTCTCTTAGCCTTTTATATATATAAAGATTTACTAAAGTTTATTACATTACTATTTTATCACAATGAGACAGGAAGGTCAATAGAATTGTTTGATTGTTCTTTCTAATTTATCATAGTTCCTTATTTATTTATTTAGTTAGTTAGTGATGTTAATTCTCACCAGATAATATTTTTCTATTGGTTTTTAAAGAGAGTGGAAGTGAGAGGGAAAGACAGAGAGAAATATCAGTGTGAAAGAAACATGGATTAGTTGCCTCCTGCATGTGCCTGGACCAGGATCTGGGCTAGGGAACGACCTACAATTAAGGTACATGCCCTTAACTGAAATTGAACCCATTTGTCTACAGGCTAATGCTCTATCCACTGAGCCAAACTGGCTAGAGCCCATAGTTCCCTTGTTAGAATCTCACAGTTCAGATTGAAGCTACTGGTTGTGTAGGTTAGTTTTATGTTCTTTCTGTGCCTGGTTCTATACTTTGATATAATTGCAGCAAGGAGTATACCTGAACTTTTAGGGGACATTCTTAGAAACAGCAGCTTCTTTGGTTGACTTGCTGCTGTAATTTTCCTAATGCTTGCACTTTCTACATCAATGGGACCAACTCATCTAGGGGCTTGGCTGGGTCAGAAAGGCAAGGTGAAAGCCACCATCTTTTCTGCATCTCCATAGAGCATCTTTATCTCCACGTACTCTCCCTTTCTCTCTCCTTACCAGATTAGGGAATGAGCCTTCGAATATGCTTAGACCTTAACCTAATTTAGGACCCATGACTTTATGGTTGCTAGGTCTTGAAAAAGAATGACCGTCCTGAACATCAATCCAATACCATTTTCTGTATGATTGAAATGTGCTTTGCTCTTTATATTATGTATGAAGTGATTCTTGGTTTAAGGAGAGCAATATAGAGAGCATGGCCAAGATGCAAGGAAGATATTATCACCGATTCTTGCCTTTTTCATGAAAATTTATCCATTATCTCTCCAATCTACCTCTTGCATAGTATAATAAATCTACCTCTTGCATAGTATAATAAATTCTATACTAACTAAAGCAGATGGATGCAGCTCAACTCCATACTAGCTAACTAATGTACTTTCCCTGGATAAGATAGTAACTTGGCTGTAATGCATATGAGCCCCCTTCACCAGGCCCCCAGCCCAGAGGACCTGTGCCGGGAAGAAGAGCCCCAATAACATCTGGCTTTGGAAACCAGTAAGGATTACACCTGGGAGAAATGAAGGGCTGTGGAAGACCAAGATATTATTCTTAAAGGACTCAACCACATGCTTGCTCACTCTGAGCTCCAGTGCAGAGGCAGCAGTTGGAAAAGTGCTGGGTCACACAGAGAGAAACTTAATTGACGAACCCTAGGGTAGGGCTGGAGGGGCAGGGATGGGTGGGAAATCTCTCTGGGGATGGAAATTTTGGCAGATGCCATTGTTTCGTTGTTATGCTCTTTCCACCTGGCTGGTCCAGATCTGTCACTCTCCAATAACCTGGCTGACATCGTTTGCCCTGGTGTGGCATTCCTCAGAGATCCTCCCCTGCCCAACCTGCTTGCCTGGCAGAAGTTAGTGCCAAGTATGCTCCTGACCCTCCAGATAGGTGGAGGCAGGCCTTGGCTCACATCGCAGTCTTTCCCAAGCACTCTCGAGCTGGCATAAGCAGCGACCAGCCTCGGCTCACACTGAAGCTGCTATCAGGCAGCTCCAAGGCCAGCACAAGTGGCAGCCGGCCTCAGCTTGAATTGTGGCCTTTCCCAAGAAGCCACAAGTTGGCACCTGCAGTGGCTGGCCTTGGCTTGTTTCCTAGCTCCCACCAAGCCAGTCTCAGCCCGCACTGGAGTCCCTCCCAAGAGGCTTCAGACCCGACATTTCTTTGTTTAATAGGGTAGTCTTTCATGACTCACTTTTGTACATTGGCTGAAGATAGTTGAGGATGGTGGTTAAGTGGGATACCCAAATGTTTACTTATTGGTGACCTTGGCTAAGTTCTTTAATCTTCCTATGCTCAACTTGTGAACTCGGATAATGATAATGCCTACTTCATGGAGTCTGTATGAAGATTTAGAGGGTATCACATGAAAAGTGCCTAGAAATTGGTTACTGGCCCTACATAATAGCTACTTTTATGGAAAAAAAATTGACATAGCATTATTTTGCCTTGCTAAGTGAGGAAATTATCACAACACTTTTACAAAAACATGGAAATTCTACTGAGCTGCCAACTTGTTTCAAAAAAAACATTAAAAGTTGGCAAATATGGCTGCTGTGTGATGGATAAATGGGAGTGTATTTTATTATTGCTACTAAGCTGGTATAGGATTGAAATTTTCCATATAATTTTTTGTTTTTAAAGCAGCTTTGTTATTGATGCTTACCACTAGAGACCTTAGAGAAACCTGTATATCTTTCATTACTGATTCTTTATCTGGCTTGTGCTATGTGATTCCTGCCTAAATATATATCTTATTTCTGCTCACCTCTCTTATTTATTAAAATTGCATTAAACACTTAACTATTTTCTTTATATATCTCCCATGAGTATGTATTTTTGTTTTCTTCCTCAAACACTTGCAAGCACTGAGTATTGAACAAGCGCTTAACCTGAAGTATGTATAAATGATACTGGGCAACGAAACAAGGGGATTTCAACTTCCAAATTTTATACTTCCTTATTAGATCTTTGTGTGTTTTGTTGTTGTTTTACTTCAAGCATGTTTTACTTTTATAACATTTTTAAAAGAAAAAGATTTAAACCATGATTTATGTAGTCACCATTTAAAGAATCATTATGATGAACAGGACTGAGACTGAAATAGACACTAAACAGACATTTAGACTTGGCCCCAAAGCCTTCTAAACTGACTCTCTTGATTTAAAATTACAATCTTTGCAAGTATTTTCCCCCCTTTTTCTGTGTCTGTTTTGATTTGCAATTATTGGAGAACTTAAAAGCAAGAAAAAGACTGGTTCCCAATGCAATATACAATTTTAAATTGTTGATTGAATCCTGGGCACCTGTAATGTTGAAATGCAGAGACCTACAGGGTATAAAACACAACTGTGCTCATGACTCTTAGTCATATTCGTTCTTTACTTGTAAGCAAAATGCCATAAAACTGTCCGCTCATTTTAGTGCATTTATTGTACCCAGAAATAAAGAATCAGGACTGCTGAGCAAAATGTTTATTTTAAAAAAGATTTTTAATTGATTTTTAAAGAGAGAGGACGGGAGAGGAAGAGACAAAAGTCAAATGCAACTGGGCATGTGCCTGGACCAGGGGGAACCTGGCCACCTTTCCCTGCAGGGGATAATGCCCAGCCAGCTGGCCCCTCCAGCCAGGGCAGAATCCTACTTCTTTATCACCCTCACTAGAGGAATCTAACTTCCGTTATCTCTACCCACAGGCAACATGAAGGACCGGCTCTCAGAACTTCTGGAGTTAACCAAGCAGTACGACCAGCAGTTCCCAGACGAGGACGATGTGTTTGACTCGCCCCAGGAGGACTTCGAGTTCGAGACGGACCACATTCTGGAGTCCCTGTACCGAGACATCAAGGCGCTTCAGGACGAAAACCAGCAGCTGATGATCGACGTGAAGCGGCTGGGGAAGCAGAACGCCCGCTTCCTCACGTCCATGCGGCGCCTCAGCAGCATCAAGCGCGACACCAACTCCATCGCCAAGGACATCAAGGCCCGCGGCGAGAGCATCCACCGCAAGCTGCGCGCCATGAAGGCGCTGAGCGAGGAGGCCGAGGCGCAGCACGGGCCCAACGCGGCGGTGGCGCGCATCGCCCGCGCGCAGTACAGCGCGCTCACCCGCACCTTCCAGCGCGCCATGCACGACTACAACCAGGCCGAGATGAAGCAGCGCGACAACTGCAAGATCCGCATCCAGCGCCAGCTGGAGATCATGGGCAAGGACGTGTCGGGCGACCAGATCGAGGATATGTTCGAGCAGGGCAAGTGGGACGTTTTCTCCGAGAACCTGCTGGCCGACGTGAAGGGGGCGCGGGCGGCCCTCAACGAGATCGAGAGCCGCCACCGCGAGCTGCTGAAGCTGGAGAGCCGCATCCGAGACGTGCACGAGCTCTTCCTGCAGATGGCGGTGCTGGTGGAGGAGCAGGCCGACACCCTCAACGTCATCGAGCTCAACGTGGAGAAGACGGTGGACTACACGGGCCAGGCCAAGGCGCAGGTGCGCAAGACCCTGGAGTACAAGAAGAAGAACCCCTGCCGGGCCATCTGCTGCTTCTGCTGCCCCTGCCTCAACTAGCAGGCTGGCCTGGCACCCCGCGCCCCCTCTCCGCGGGAATGGGCGGGGAAGCGCCCTGGGAAAGGCTTGGGGGCTCCCTTCACTGCGGCGGCGAGCTGTCCTAGGGACCTCAGATTTTTAGAGAAAGAAGAAACTCGAGGTCCAAAAAGCCCCACCCAAGCCCATGCTTGGGACTATAGTTGATGCCTTCCGATGTTTCTTCAGTAAGGACAGAGACACCCCGAAGTTGTGTGAGGTCATTGTATGGCAAGTTGCATCCTTGCCCACGGAAGAGGCATAAAAAACTGACTAGCGAACTGGAGGGGAAATGTCCCGGGCATGTGTCCTAATGAAATTCCAGGAGGAAGTCAATTCCGCATTGGCTAATAGTATGAGCTCATCAAAACAAATTCATGCCCTCTCCTGGAAGTGCCTTGGTTCTGTTCCATGTCACATCTTTCATTTCCACTCATCTGGTTTGTGCTGTGTGTTTCCTGTCTAGACATGTACCTGTTTTCTTCCTGCTCACCTCCATACTTACTAAAATCACACTCAACACTCACTATTCTCTTATCTCTTTACTTTTAATATCTTCCATCAGAATAGAGTTGGGATTTTTTCCCCCAAATATTTTTAAGCACTGAGTATTGAACAAGCCTTGAAGTTGATGTGTGTATCAGTCACATTTTATATATTTTTCATAAGTAAAAGTAATTTAACGTTTATCTTTTTTACTTGATAGTTACAAATGCACATATACATATGTAAATGTGAAGTACTAATATTCACTAACACGTGTACATAATGACTAATTGGTTTTCATTTTACTTTTGTAAATATAAACTATAAATATCAAGAAAAACACTTTTACTGGTTACTGGTGTTGCTTGTCTTATTTTGAGTGTATCATTCCCATCTGCATACCCAGTCCAATTTAGGCAGGAATTTTATTTTGAACAACTCTGTCAGTTATAGTGATAAAGACGGATTTCAACAGCTGAAAATGCTTCCAGAACTAGATAATAAAATAAAATTCTTGGGCCGAAGCCGGTTTGGCTCAGTGGTAGAGCGTCGGTCTGCGGACTGAAAGGTCCCAAGTTCGATTCGGGTCAAGGGCATGTAAATTGGTTGCGGGTACATCCCCGGTAGGGGGTGTGCAAGAGGCAGCTGTTCTCTCTCATTGACATTTCTAGCTCTCTATCCCTCTTCCTTCCTCTCTGTGAAAAATCAATAAAATATATTTTTAAAAAAATAATAAATAAATAATAAAATTCTTGGAAATAGTACTTTAGTTTTACTTTGGACCATCCCTTTCATTCATTTAAATGGAGTAATTTAAATTAAAATATTTATTTTTAAGTTAATTTAATAAACATTACATTATTATTTTCCCTTTTGTGTATTTGCACCTTAGTTTACTTTCTCGATTATTGTGTTGAAAATTCTTGTAGCTGCTTAAAGTTGCAGCATCTGGATGGAACTCTGAATAGCGAAGAAAAAAAATGAAAGAGCATTCATATAGGAGTGTGTCTTCCTTTCTCTCCTGAGTTACTTATAATAGTTTAGCAAAAGCATCATGTTTTAGGGATTTGCTTTCATTTGCAAACTTTGGAATGTCCTTACCCACATTCACTGCGCTTCTGTCTTCCTCCTGAGTCAACTCTGAACTCTTTCTACTCATTTCATAAATGAAAATTTATTCAGCTGCCATAATTTTCGAGTCCTTTAGACAGTGAAGTTTTAAAAAGAGTAGAACGAAGAGTGTGTGAATTCTGAAACCCGCTGACTAAACTGCTTATGATCGTGAAAATCTACCCCTGCACCTAATTTTAATTTCATGCTTAAATATGAGAATTGTGGAAGCCAAGTCCCACCAGGCTCTTCTCAGATTTCTCACGATATCTTTCTCAGCTAACTCCAGGGATGTTTCACCTGTGACCTCACTTGGTCTAATTCCCTTTCCCTAAAAAATAAGTCTTCTTCATTCAGCTCCATTGTCTTTCATGGAAGAGAAGAGATGCGGTGAATACAGACCACCAGCCAGTTTGCACAAGAGAGAATAATTCATGCATTTGTCTTGTTCAAACCCATAAAGGATTTTCTTTGCTTAGAACCATTCATGAAAGTATGCGAGTTTGCAGGCTCCATGTACTTTTGAATTCCCCATATTTCACAGTGAAGAATTAGGTAAACACTGAACTTGAATATACTGAGAGATTAGTTACCTCTGGCCTAGGAAAAGGTAAGAATTTTTCTTTCTGCTTTTTAGTAACAACTGAGTGTGACAGTGGCCAAGAGCCCAGATGCAGGAGCCCACTCACTGTCTCTGCCTCATGTTAGCATGCCTCATGATTGGGCATGCTTCTTAACCTCTGTGCCTCAGTTTCCTCATCTGTAAAATTGATACACCCTACCTCATAGAGTTGTTTGAAGAAGTAAAATGATTAAATATTTAAATATGTAAAATATGTAAAAGCATTTAGAAAGCACCTGGTATATGCTAAGCACAATGTTTATCATTGTTATTAAATAACTTTCCCATGAACTTGAGTAAATGAGTAGTTATTAACGTCTGAGGAAAAACAAACACTTATTCTCCTGTGAAGTCTTTCAAAACATGGAATAAGGAAACCAAGACCCTATCTTCTTTGACTATGAGGGCTTCTTTTCTACAATGAAAAAACTACTTTTCACGGTGGCATTTCTATTCCTTCTTATACCCATACATGTTCTGGAAAGGAAATTCAATGTTCCACTCAAAAAAGTTAAGCAGAAAGCAGCTGTTCTGCTCACTTTGGCAAGTGCTTCCCCCCTGCTTCCTCCCAAGCTGAGGCCCAAGGCCCCAGCAGGAGTTCAGCTGTGGAGGCCCATCACAACAGATCGAGGGGCAGGGCCCTGTTGGCTTTTCCCATACCCTGTCCTGCTTCCCCGAAGCCCTTCTTGGCTCTGACTGCCAGCCAAGCAGTGGGAAAATGCTGGCTTTCTGTGCAGGAAAGGGTCCTCCAGCGCCACCCAGAGATGCTGTATGTTGGTTTCCCCAATCCTGTGACGCTCTGAAGAGTGACTTTGGGCAAAAAGACTTTGTGGTAAATCTGCAAAATTTGTACACTAATGTCATTTCATGTACAAAATGAAGGAACCCACCACAAAGAACAATAGCGCCTTCAGGGATTTCTTGTGAGGTCGAACCCTGGGTTCAAAATAAGACTACCGGAGGCTGATAATTTATTTAAAAAAGCAAACAAGGATTTATTGACTGGCCAGGGCAGGCACAAGAGTACCGCACACAGGCGGACTCCAAATGACTGCGAGGCTTTAGGGGCAGGTAGTTATTTTTGAAGGTTCTGAGAAGGAAAGCCCCCATTCTGCAACAAACTGTTGTTTAGAATTTTCTGCTATTCTTCCTAGATAAAATGTTGCTTTCTAGTATGCTTTAGCCCGTTTGAAGAATGATGAAGACAAACCTAGCTGTCTGACCTTGCAGGCCAGAGACCAGATATGCCCACAATCTCAATACCATGCCAGGTGCATTTTTCTTAATTGGACAGAACAGCATTGTTTTCGAGGCCAGCATTGAGATAACCACTAAGTGTACATAGGGCTGCCTCTTTAATGAAAAAGAAAGTTCTGACTGTAACCTTGCCTAGAACTTGAACTCATCCTCCCTAAGCCCATTGCGCAATGAACAAAGCAAGTAAGTGAAGGTCGAAGTCAGAATAGTAGGGTTAAAATTCAAACAGTAGTTTTTACCCAAGTATGATTGCTACCATATTTCAGGCCTGAAGGTGGAAATCTTTTAAAGCTGTTTTAACAAGCCATGGCTACTTCCAACTAGCCAAATGCCACACTTTCCAGCCACAACCATGGATTGTAGGTGGAGACAACTCCAGAAACATCAGAGAGGAAAGGTGCTCCCCTAGGAATCAGTATCCAGCATAATCTGAAAGACAGTTTTGGTTTTTTAAGTATGTTTTTAATTGATTTTTAGAGAGGAAGGAAAAGGAATAGATGGAAACACCGATGAGAAAGAAACATCATCAGTCTACTGCTTCCTGCATGGTGCCCACAACTCCAGCCCGTGTCCTCACCAGGAATTGAACTGGTGACCTCTTGGTTCCTGGGTTGATGCTCTTCCAATGAGCCACACAGTCTGGGCTGAATTACAGTTACAGTTTGTTTGTTTGTATAATATAATTGATTTCAGAGAGGAGGGGAGAGGAAGGTGACCTTGGTTATTGAAATCATACAGGTTTCTGTTATGGAAGGAGGTAGGGAAAGAAGAAAAGAAGGAATCAGTTAAGTACCCACACACACAAAGGCTCTCTGGCTGAGGCAGAGCAATGCCTCCATTTTCTAAATTGTCTTGGCAATGGATACTTCATATTTGTTCTACACTCATTCCCCACCGCTCTGTTTCTTTGTTTAGTTTGCTGTGTGTGTGTGGACTTTTCATTATTTGCAAGTTCCTGTTTGTCTAATCTATGTTCAACTGCTTGCTCTGACCTTACTAGTAAATCCTGACTGCTGTTTGTCTGCGAGTTTTCCTGATTGTCTTTCACCCTGACCTTCAACTTATGCACACTAATCTAGGTCTGACCACACTTTGCTCAGTAGCTGTCTCATCCCACAGCAGATAGCTATGTCACTCAACCAACAGACTACCCATTAGTATAAACACTTTCCAGTTTACAGAGTGCTTTGATCCCTTCTTTTCATGACAATCCTGTGAAATAACATTGCCACCTCGTTTTTCGAAGAGGTGGAAGCTAAGAACTCAGTCCTCTAATATTTGACAATAGTTATGTACTTCGGTGTGTCTGTTTCTTACTCTCACATTGCTAAGCTTCCTCTCTAGGAATGTTCACGTCAACATCAATCTAGAAGCATAAATTGCACAAAGAGATGAAGAATGTGTATTTTCTTTTCTTTCTTTTTTTTAAATATATTTTATTGATTTTTTACAGAGAGGAAGAGAGAGGGATAGAGAGTTAGAAACATCGATGAGAGAGAATCATCCATCA